TTCAGCTATTTTCACTTAATCTGTCTAATATATGTATTCCCATAAGCTGTGAGCATGGTAGCCAAAGCATGGCTCCATTGCAATCACGATGTACAGAGGGCACATAATTCCTTAATTTTCAGCATTTCAAGAACATAGTATAAAGCTAAGGAAATTATAAATACAATACTCGCTGCAGCCCACACAAGAAACTCGCTCAAAGCAAAATCCAGTAAGCCTTCCATACCTGAAAGCTCACGTAATGCATCTACTTGTAAAGTTAAAGATATCCTCCTGCTTTGCCACAATCATCTCTCATACACACGCATTTGCGTAAACTGTGAACTGTATGAGAGGGGGAGAGAATCTACAAGTAAACTCCAAGATTATCGAATGCATCCACCTATTGCATAATATCATTCCACTTTCTTTCGGATATATAGGCATTTATCTAAAAATAAACAAATCTGTAATCAACAGCATGTGGGATGTTAACAAATAAAGTTCCTCAAAAGAAGATTTTATTCAGACATTAAACCATACGGTTACATAGATTACATTACAGGACGTTGCACAGGACAGTTCATGACTAGGGAACCTGCAAAACTAGGGCTTNNNNTAGGGAACCTGCAAAACTAGGGCTTGGAAAGAAAAAACAACCCTTCCAGAGGAGATAAGGTTGTCATGGCTGACAAAAGAAGTTGCTGCCAAGGCCAACGCCCAAAAACGCAAGGTGACAAACCTAGAACTGCCAAAAGCAACCACAATAGAGGGGATCGACACTTTAGAAACAGACCCAAACTCGAGTTACTAAAACACAAGCATTTGGTAATGTTGACGACTTGGTAAAATTCAGAGTCGGGAGACCCAAAAAAAGAAGACACGCAGAAGCAAAAAAAAAAAACTAGAAACACTTGAGAATCTAAAGATCCAGAACCCAAATCTTTGTTCTCGGCGAAGCATGACCATAAAGAAAAATGGCTCCAATGATATGAAGCCAAAATTCTTGAAACAGCTTTACAATTGAAAAAAAGCTGCAAAAAAAGAGTTACACGCCACACTTAGCTGGAAAAAGTCGACTGGGATACTGAACCTCGTGAAGATCCATGGGGATGAACCCTAAAACTACGCTCACTAATGCTATTACCAAGATGTTTTACTGAACAAGTTGAGATTCCTGATTTACTCCTTGTCTGAGATCAGGATTCTTCAAAGTGGATGCTTTTTTAGGCAAGTATATCGCAACTCCAAAGCTGCTCCACAAGTAAATCAACAGCGCCACGGCTGATACCATGACAGTTCTGGATGTTCAAACCGACTAAGGTCTGACCCAAAATCCCCAACGAAGCTAAGCCTTTGTCAGTTAACGATGAGCACCCCGAGAGGGAAAGTATCTGTAAACTGAGGTGCACTGCACCAGCCAAGGCTGCTATACCAGAATCAGTTATTCCACACTCGGAGACATCAAGTTCACTAAGCAACAAGCAATCATCTGCAATTTCCACCAAGCTAGCATCAGTGATGTGTCTGCAGCCATCAAGATTCAGAAGCTCAAGAGTGCTCCCATGCATCTTAACAATGTCCAAAACCACATTGTCCGTCAAATTCACACATCCACTCAGATTTACCTTTGTAAAACAATCTTCAGAGTTCTGAACAAGAGGTCGAAGCCCCTCATCAGTAATTCCATGAAGACCCAGAAGATTCAAATGTAACAATCTGGTGCACAGTCTTCCCAGTATGGCCAAGCTAGCATTACCAAATCCGGGGCAGTTACGGATGGTCAGATATCGTAACGAATTGCAAAGAGACATAGATGGAAATTCAAATTCCGTGTCCCTAATTCCCAAGCAGTTTGCTATGACAAGAGCCTTCAGTTTCCTACTATTTCCAAGAACACCAAAAACTCCAAACTGGGTAATCCTGTGGCATTCCTCTAATTGAAGACTTTCAAGCAACCCTGCAGTTTTCACAAATGAAGCTAATCCTTTGTCTGATAGGAGTGGGCATTTTCGGAAGCAAGTCTGCTTTAGATTTGGGCAACCTTTGCCCATGGATTCAAGCCCTACATCGGTCACTCCTCTGCAAGCAGTAACCGCAAAAGATTTCAGCTTCTGCAAACCTTGTCCACTACCCATGGCCCAGAATCCTCTCTCATTCACATTTTGGAGGCCAGTGAGTGCTAGGTCAGTCACTTCATGTCCATAGTATCCAATCACAGCAAGAGACACATCAGTGATATTGAGTGCCTGAAGCTTAACCTTTGTCAAGACACGACCAGCAGATGAAAACATATTTGCAATTCCTAGATCCCCAACACGTGGGCAGTTTTTAACTGTGATGGACTTCAAGTTGGGGCAAAAACGACCCAAAGCTTGCAGGCTTTCATTCCCAATGTTCAAACAAGATTCTACTGTAACCGAGGTCAGATTAGGACAATTCCTTGCAATAGCGAGCAAACTTTTGTCAGTAATTGTTGAGCACTGACAAAGGTCGAGCTTCTCCAGCAGACGACACTCATTTGCTATCTCGAATAAGCCTCCATCATCAATTGATGAGATGTTCCACAAAGAAAGAGCTCTTAAAGAAGGGCAACCACGAGCAATGGCCATGAGGCCGAGGTTTGTCACTCCTTGAATGGAAGTAGTTCCTCGAACGGAAAGCTTGCCCAATCCTCCACGGCTTCCTGTTCCAACAGAAATTGCAGCAAGTCTCACATCTGTAGCTTTTTTCCCTTCTAGGTATCTCGAAAGATATCCATTGGCCTCTGTCTCTTGATCTTCCTCAGCTTCAGCTTTAATTTCATTTGAATCAATGTATCCACCCTTCCGCTCTGACTCAGTAGGCTTCTCTTCCTTCATAGTACTCGAACTTTTCTCAGGCTCGACAGAATGAGTGATTTTGTTGGTGCACAGTTCATCTCTCCGGATGCTGCTTAAAAGCATGAGCCAGCGCTTGGAGACACTGGCACATGCACTCCTCTCTTGGCCACCGGGAAGACGTCTGAACACCTCAAAGAGACATTCATCGGGAAGAACTTCAATGGATGATTTCTGCGTCTGCTCCCCGCTGACAACAAATGGGGCACAGACACGAGATCTCTTTCGAGGAGGAAAATAAACATCCACGTGATGAGCAAGGGGCAAAATAAGACTGGAATCCTTGGGATATGGGAATAGGAAACCCCCAGTGGTAAAATCAACAGCACCTGAAATCCATGATGCGTAAAAGAATGTCAGCCAATTCACAATTATATATCTAATAAATTTCAAATAAGACGCAGTAAAATATATTTAGATCAAATGTGGAGCATTAAAAATATATGCTACCTTCTAAGGCCAGCATATATATAGTTAACACAGAGACTATAAGTATCATTGTGTAGTTTATCCATGATCCAACCATATTATCCAGTTAATTCATAATTTATCAATAAATACAAAAGATTTTAGATTTGTGTCCTGAAAGATAATGAATTTGCTTCCCAAAGGAAAAGGTAAATCGAGCTCAAGACATAAACTTGAAGCAAAATCCAGATATGATTCGTGCATATATGTGCTTTTAATTTATATTTCCGTAATCAAATAACTTTAGCAATTAACATGGTAGCCCACATGAATGCATATTCCAAGAAAATATCAACCCATAACGAAAAAAAAATGAAGAAGCAAGCAACACGATAGACAAAATCTTAATACATAACCCACGATAGATTTGAGATCAGAATACTGTG